TAATTTATATTTTTATTAATACATGTTTGCAGTACATAATGATTATATTCGTTTTGGGGAAGAGGGACATGTACACAACACATCTTAATTCTTTTTTCATCCAATTACAATTGATATAAATGAGGTCACACATATCCAACAAAAATATGTCATTGGCTATTCAGTTCAGATGATGTTTGGTATAGGAGGTAGATGGGAGATGACAGTTATTCTGTCCTTATCTCTGGTAGGTGAACCAGATTAGATCATGCTTATTTCACCTACTGACTGTAGGAATTTAAGTCTCCCAAAGCATCAGCCTTTACTGCACTATTCAAACATGATCAGTTAAATTGCTGGCTCAGGGTGTTCTCCTGGGCATACTGTAACAACACTAGCAGGATTCCTATGTTTTTACCACATCATGAAATCGATTAGTATCATAATTTTTAAAAGCTTACTGAGCAGTATGCTTCATAGCTGTCACAACTTATTCTTGTGCAAGCAGACATCTAAGAAAATCAGAAGACATCCTGTTCTTAACGATACTCGTGTCCTTTTCTTTGTCTTTCTTCTTTCTTCCAGTTTTCAAACAGTCTCTTTCATGTCTCACTTAGACATATGGGAGCCCAGAGGCCACTTTTTCATTAAACATTGCTTCAGTCCTCTCCCTCAGCCCCACGCAAACCCCTCATTTCAATTGCTTTGTAGCTGTACAAGTATTTCTTTCATCGTAAAAATATGTGTTTCTATATTCCTACAGTGCCTAGCACACAGAGTGGCTTGAATATATTTCTGATATTAAATATAGTATGGTTGTTAGGCTGGTGGGGGTTCACCAAACTGTAAAAATAACAGTTTCAATTCTTTTTTCTCTATATATGGCTTATATATATGAAGATTACTCTTTTTGAAAAAGATACTGGCATAGATAGTACTTCAAAGAACAGGCTATTTCATTTTCAGAAGAGCTTGTATCTTATTATTTAGCATAGCTTTTTGATGAAGAATGAATTTGTGTGTACTCCAAAGTCTCCCCTATACTAACCAACACTGTCCTCCACCCTCACCCAACACTGATATCCAGTCTTAGCAGCCAGTTTCACTGGTGCTTTTGTTGTACTGAGACCTAAGTACTACACACGCATTCTTCTGAACATAGAAATTTTATCTACCCTTCCTCCTATGAATGCGCCTTTTCTGAACGTCTTGTGCAGCACTGGATTTAAGGGAATAAAACATATAAATTAAATATAAAATACTGTGAATGTACTAATAAGGTCACTGTGTTTTATATAGTTATTTATTTCTCCGTATATATGTTATCATGTATTCAAAACACTCCACTCTGTTCCCATGTCTCAGAAAATCTACACAGAAAGAAAACATGAGCTCCAGGTGTAATCAAGAATCTGCTGGAATCCCCTCTGCATCATGTTTGTCTGACTCCATAGCACGTGCTCTTCACACAGTTCTAAGTACTGTGTAATTAAAATGACAGTATCCACTGTTTCTGAAGTTCAGTTTGTTGGTACATGTTAAAGTATACAGAATGATCATTATCCCCCTTGGAACTTTGCACCTGTGTATGGTTTATCTCATGGCTTTTCTTCCCTGATTCATGTATCCTCCCTTCAATCCTCTTCCCCTCCTTATATACAAAATCTTCATTTCCATCTTTCAATGGATAAAAAAGCTGTGGGGTTTTTTTTTAGTATAATGGAGTTCTACTCAGCCATAAAAAAGGATAAACTTGAGACATTTCTAGGTGAATGGATAGATCCTGAGACCATACTCTGAAGTGAAGTTATTGCAGAACTTTCATTTCTATTGTTTTAGAGCACTCCTTTGCACAAACACATCATCATTTGTTTATCTATTCAAAATGTAATAAGTGGTTGAATAGTTTTCCCTTTAACCATCATCAGTAATGTTCTTGTGAAAACCTATATATGTGGATAATATTTGTGACATATATTCAATGACCTTATGAAAAAAAAACTAGAAATTGGACATGGATGTGTATGAGCTCTTAGTAAATATTGTCATATAGGTTACCAAAATGATCTGCTAATCTAGATACATTTCCACTACACATTTTCAGTATGTGATATACAGTATGTAAGCCACCACATTCTGAAAGATGTAAAACCATATATAAAGTTATAATACATACTATATATCACATACCAATTGTTTTACATCCTCACCAATTTTACATCCTCACCAATTTTAAATGCTGTGTGTCCACGAGGTTAACTATGTGATTTCCTTAATGATTAATAAAGTAAGACACCTACTCTTATGGTTTCTATCTAGATAACCTCAGAGCCTGATGGAACCCTATTCGGGTCATTTTAGAAGGTGACTGAATCCCTGGGGCACCACTGCTTCTGGGGTGGAAGGGCAGGGCTGCTCACTGGTTTCTTGCCCTTTCAAGCTCCTCACCTCTCTGTCTTTGCTTCCCGGCCCCCGAGACATGCACAGCTCTTGTGTGCGGCAGGTCCTTGCACCACGCCCGTTCTGCCTGGAGATGGCCAACCCTAAACTGATCCTGTGAAAGCTATGAACCCAAATAACTCCTCCTTTAATTATTGCTCTCAGGTATCGAGACCCAGAAATGCAAAAATGACTGAGATGCCTACTGTTATGTAGGATCCCTAAAAGACCAAAAGCATAACTAAAGGCTAATTAAATGTTCTCAGCCTAATTGTTCTGCAGCTTCTGAATCTCATACTGAAGAGTGTTCATCTTTGCCAAGGCCTTAGATCCTAGAAATGAAATGTAGCCATTGTGTGTGAAAATCTTCCCACCCTTTTACTTTGTATTACTGAGAGAAAGATTTGCTCAGTTCTCAGGGGCTAATCGATACACATTGTGGAATTAGATGGTGGCTGTGGCTGCCAAACCTTATGATGAAACTAAAACCAAGAAGTTTTTACTCTAAAACTTTATGATTTAAAATACCTAAATTACATCTCACAATAATGTTGTATCAGAAGACTGCGGTAATAGTCCATTAGGGTACGGAACGAGAATATTTCAAAAGTGACAAAGAAATGAACATCAGGTAAGGTTTGGAAATGATGCGGGGACTCCGTGAGTTTCATTTGATTGTGCCTCCTTCAAACAAGGAGGATGCACATTACATGTAAAAGAATAAAATATGTACACAGTACGATGTTTTACAGCCTGAGATTTGTTTTCAGTTTCATCATGATGCGGATCATTTTGGTGACAACAGTACAGAATTAAAGTTCAACCTGTGCTAAAAGAGTTCTTGTATTCACAAGGGAAAATGTAGAAACACAGATATAATTTTTGCAAAACACTTTGCAAAACATTAAAGCCTGAGGGAAGTAGCTTTGGAGAGTGTAAGTCCCAAATGCTATCTGATATAATAATATGTGACCTAGTTGGTTTTCCACTACCAAAAAAACCTCCTCATTTCAGGTAAGTTCTTCAGTTACCAAATTTAAAAATGTGAGGGCAAAATTACCCTTAGAAAAGATTTATAAATGAATAGTTTTATGTCAAGTTAGTGAAATTTTAAAGTGTAATGATTAAAAATGACAATTTAAGCTCAGAATTGAAAATACTGGCTGAAATTACTCTCCACGAAGCAATGTTTTAGTTATTGTAATTCCACCTATGCTCATCCGCAAATATTTTCTTATCATTCTGTTAGTACACGCATTGACACAAAGTTTGTGTTTCTTTGTGTTATCTAATTAAAAGAAAATTGAAATATTAGTTACATGTAACAGTGTGCATAATTCAACTTCACATGTACCACATGCTATAATTATATAGGCAAAAAAGTGCATAAAAAGGAAACAATAAAATACAAACATCCATTTCCTGTAGTCTATTCTCATATCCATGAAGAGATGCATGCAAATTCAGGAAATCATGTGCATATACTTAAGGAAGTGATGCCTATATATCACAAAAGTGTTTATTGTCCCTCATAGTTTTCTCATTTTTCAAACAAGAACTCTATTTAAAATCAGGCATAAAGCAAATGCATCTCTGTATTACCATGCTTAAACTTCTTTTGAATAATGATTCAAATTTGTGCACTCTTTTAATTGTCCGGGTTTGTCTCCAGACTCTCCCTGGGAATAGGCATTGGGTCAAAACCATACATGAATTCTAAGCAAAAAAAGGAAACTCTGTAGTGTTTGTAATAGTTTTATTATTTTTTATTCTCTTTAATTGTTTGATCCATCTTGCATTCTTACATCTGGTAATCTGAGCATCTTCACTGAAGATAACGCTATGTAATATAACAACCATAATTCATTTCCTCTCACCTTATTTTGAAATTCTGTGTATTTTTATTGTTTTGTGTGGTTTTGTATTTATCTGTGTTGTTGTTATTTTGTTTTCTTTTCTCCTTAAAATAAAAAAGGCAACAAAATGTGCACCTTTTCTTATGTTTTATCAAAACTAAAGAGCACATTGATCAGAAATTGTAAAATATAATTTGCTTTTTATTAGTCAGTGACATACTTATTGCCCTCGGAACTAACACAATGCTTTTTTAAACCAATTGTGATTTTGGAGAAACACTAATTGGAAATGTTTTGCATTGATGTTAATGTTTTAAAAAATACCAATTGCTTAATCCTGCATTTTGTCCCTTAGTAGCCTTAAGACTGATATTTCTTCCACATTAATTTGAAAATGTATTGAGATTTTGGCCCGTGAAAACTAGACTTGCTGAAGTAAAGAAAGTTACAGAGAAATTAAAGAACATGTACAAATTGGTATCGCTCATGAATAGAGTCCAGATTCCAGTCAGAAATTTTTCAGTTGCTTTCTAAGCATTTTAAAGTATTGACAATAAACGGAATGCTTTCTTTTTAAAGACACTAGAGAGAATACTTTTCTGATGTTGAAAATGAAAATTATAGGTACAGAAAGTGATCTATCTTGGAGATAACTTGTGGGTGGTGTGCAGAAAAATTAAACATGCATCTACCTTAATAATTCTATCTAGATTACCAGAGGGAAAAATGGACAGAGAAAATTGCTCCTCCTCCAGCGAATTCATTTTCTCGGGAATCACTAATAACACTGATCTCAAAGGGACCCTTTTCACCATGTTTCTACTTGTTTACCTGATTAATTTTCTGGCAAACCTTGGAATGATCGTGTTAATCAGGACTGATTCCCGTCTCCACACACCCATGTACTTCTTCCTCAGCAACCTCTCTTTCTGTGACCTCTGCTGTTCCACCGCAGTTGGACCCAAGATGCTGGCGGACCTCTTAGCTCAGAGGAAATCAATTCCCTTTGTTGGCTGCGCTCTGCAGTTCTTGACCTTAGTCACGTTTGTGGATGCTGAGTGCATGCTGCTGGCAGTGATGGCCTTTGACCGGTACCAGGCCGTCGTCAACCCCTTGCTCTACACGGCCCACATGTCCAGCAGGCTGTGCTCACGATTTCAGGCTTGCATTTACACGGTGGCGCTGACAGATGCTTTGATAAACACGGTATTGGCATTCCGCTTATGTTTCTGTGGGTCTCATGAGATTAACCATTTCTTCTGTGATGCCCCTGCTCTCCTTTTACTATCTTGCTCAGACACACAGGTCAATGAATTAGTGATATTTATCATTTTTGGCTTTATCGAACTGAGCACCATTTCAGGAGTCTTTGTTTCTTATTGGTACATCATCCTTTCAGTCTTAAAGATCCGCTCTGCTGGAGGGAAGTTGAAGGCTTTCTCCACCTGCGCCTCCCACCTCACTGCCGTTGGCATTTTCCAGGGAACGCTGCTTTTCATGTACTTTCGGCCAAGTTCTGCCTACTCCCTAGATCAAGACAAAATGACCTCACTGTTTTACACCCTGGTGATCCCCATGCTGAACCCGCTGATTTACAGCCTGCGGAACAAGGATGTGAAGGAGGCGCTAGAAAAACTGAGAAGTAAAGGGTGGTTTTAAGCAATTCTCATATACATATTTCTAGTGATTGATTTATGTCACTCTACCTTCTTTTCTGGAATACATATGCGCTTTTCTTTATCTAGAGAAATTTTGCTAACATTTTTAAGTGTGCCAAAATATTATTTGTTCTTCCATCAATTTCAATTATAGTGAGGTTAAATGAGAGGCTTACTAATTGCTTTCTAATATATTTACATGTTTCATTTCTTGGCAAATCTACTAGTTTTTTGACATGTGAAACTTATGTTCTAGTAGAATACAAACATTAATGGAGAGTTAATTCACATTATCTCAAAATTCTCATAAATAGATTATTGCCTAAGTGTAGAGCAAAATCTTTAAAGTTTATAAGCACAACAAAGGCTTAGGTGCATGAAGCTATGAAAAATATGCTTGCTTTAGAGCTTTTTGACATTTAGAGAAGTCTCAAGATGTACAGTTCCATTAAACCTGAAAAACTAAGTCCAATCAAATAATGATTTAAAGAAAACAGTTGGGGCTGGGGATATAGCTCAACAACACGAGCGCCTGCCTGGCAAGCACAAGGTCTTGAGTTCGATTCCCAGAACCAAAAAAAAGGATGAAAACAATTCAAATGTCCTTAGCTGTGTGCATCTCTGTGTTGGAATTGTCAGTCATCAATTCTTCCACCCCTTTCTCCTGGGAGCTCTCTCTTTCATCTTCCCCATTCTCGCTTTGGTTGAGTGGTTCTCAATGTTTCCCCCAAAATCACTTCCTTAGAGCAGCAAAGTGACCTTGTTTCTTGAATCGGTAACTCCAATCAGATTATTCACTTATGCTTACTTGCTGTCTAGCCACGCCATCCCAGTTACCCAAACCACTTGTATTATGTCGGTGAAACAAAAAATGCTCAAATAAAAAATCACATGCTATTTGAAGTTTGAATTCTTACCAGTTGTTTGAAAAACAAGATTAAATCACATTATGGTATGTGGCATGAATACACACACACACACACACACACACACACACACACACACACACACACAGTTTTTAAGAATCTGCGTAAAATCATGAATGGAAATGAAATTAATATGCAAAGAAATGAATAATAAGTTCCTGAGAATAAAACATCATATATGAGTGCCCTTGAGATTTCCTTTTTCGTTTCAAAAACGTCTGTAAAAGTTTGACCAAATTATGCTGATTGTTTCAATAAAAATATTTATTACATGAATAGACACACCATGATTTGTCCCACTGAAAATTCTGCATTCACCTCTTCTTTAAAACATTTTCCAATCATTCTTGAGTATATCTTTTACTGTAGTAATTTATTTAATGTAAGCAATCATCTTAGATATGATCACTCCTCATACAATATAATACCTCTCTTTACAAAGAAGGTCAAATTTACTTAAAACTATGCCTGACAAAACTGTTTAGGTTATAGATGTATCTCCATGGGGTACTGGATAAAGAATTAAAAATGTATTATATTTTCCTAGTATTTATCACACTTGCACCTAGGAAAATGTGATACATGTATATGTGTGGTTCAGATAGACCATTGGTCCAGTACTATTGGATGTGAGTTGGCTTTGAAAACAGCAGTCACGCTCAAAGGTAACAGAGTAAGAAACTAGATCCTGATTCTCTGATGATACCATGGAATTAGCATACATATTCAATTATTACATTATTTTAAAGATGCAAGAGAAATAAAAGAACAAATTAATAATATAGAAATAAAATCATACATATAAACATATATACATATATCAAGGAAATTTCCTTTCACCAAGGAAATTCTCCCATGAAGTTTTTCATAGTGATGGAAAAAATATGATATGGCACTTAGAATAATACATATGGATATATATTTTTTCTGTGTGTTTATGCATCCATACATAAACATACACACAAATACATACATATATGTAAAATTTAAACTTTAAAGTAAAATTAAACTTTAAAAGTGGGAAACTGTAGTTGGATTGTTTCTATACCAGTATTTTGGTTTTGATATTTTGTTAAAATTTTCCAAATTGCTACCATTGTAAACAACTGGATTAGATTTAGATGGAATTTGATATGTCAATAAAATGCATGTACACTTACAATCATCTCAGTTAAGCTAAAGTGAGAAGAAATAAAGCTATCTTTGGGCCTTTCTCATTCCCAGTGCCTGGAGTGTGGATACAGATAGACCGTTGGTCCAGTACTGTTGAACGTGAGTTGACCTTGAAAACAACAGTCATGTTCACAGGTAACAGAGTAAGAAACTAGATCCTGATTCTCTGATGATACCGTGAAGTTATCATACAAATTCAATTATTACATTATTTTCAAGATGCAAGAGACAAAAAATATCAAATTAATAATATATAAGTAAAATCATACATATAAACACATACACATGTATCAAAAATCATCGTAAGAAAAATAATGTAAATTAAAAATTAGCTAATGCTGAGCAAGACAGCAGCCGAGAAAGATCCTCTGATGATCACTGCCACACAGGGATGGTTCTCCTTAAACTAAACTTCAGTTATGATAGACAAGGAAATCACAAAAGAGACCTTGGTATCTGCTTGTAGTACCATGAACACAGACTTAGTGAAGAAAATAAGAAAGAAAGAGTTGTCCATGACCTCTCTTCCTCAGCTCCAAGCAGCACAGTGTGGAGAGAGCCTCCACTTGTAGGGAGAAAACAGAGTTGAATCAAAGATTTAGATCTGAAACCCAGTACCAAGTCTTCCACGGAAAACTCAGCACTGGGCAAAGCCCAGCACTCTTTTTGTGAAGGCCGATGTGGTGCTTGACAGGGAGTCAGCCCAGTGGCTAAATGCTTCCACTGGCTCTGTCAACATCAAATGGCCAAGAAGGAAGCAACACCCCACTGGCTGGAAGCTGGGCACAAAAATTAGCACAAGACTTTGTCTCAGAACCCAGTGCCAAACTTACTGCCATGAGACTCAGTATCCAGTAGAAATTTAAGACCCCAAAGTCAGTCTAGAGATCTCAGGTTCAGCTCCTAGTCTAGCCTCAGCATTAAACAATAACCTAAATGCTAGTGGGAAAGTGGTGCTTCAATCTTTATTCTTTCCAGGCTAAAAATTGGCCTGAAGTAAAGCTCTACTCCTCAAGACCAGGCAGGTGTTTTCAGCCTGAGACTCGGGTGGAACACAGTTCAGTGATCTGGATAAGTCAATCTGACACCAAGGTTAGGCTGTTTCATCCATAGTTGCTCAAAATGAGGTAGCCCAGCTCTTACTACACCAGGGCTGAAATACATTCTAGAATTTCACTGCCACAGGGAGTCTTGAACCCCGGTGAGATGGGATCACTCTTTGGCCTTCTTTATCACCACTCATTGCTTGAATATTTGTGTACCCCCGAGATTTTGAGGAATTTTGTGGCGATGAGATTTCGATGTGGCTCCATGTAGCCTCAGTCCGAAGGAGTAAGTGACTGTCTTCAGCATTGCCTCAGACTACAACAGCAAACGCAGCACTGTGCAAGAATCCGCTTGCTGAGTTGCATATGGGTGATAAGGACAAGATTTCCCATGTGAAACTCAGTACTGAGCTGCTGCAGTCAAACAGGAGACACAGCTGAATGTTCCCCTGCCCAGGGCCTAGTTACTCAGAAGCTACAGAATTGCTCCAGTGATCCTGGCCAATACATAGCCTCAGTCTACAGGGCTTCTGGTCCAACTAGCATCACCTAAGATGTTGGCAGCTCTCTTGGGTCAAAAGTCTAACTGGACAGCAAGATAAAGTACGAGTGCGGATCCAAACTCAGTTTTAGGTTGCTCATGGCAGGTTATGGTGCAGCACATGGTGCAATGTAATGGTTAAATTTTGGTTGTCAACTTGGCTGGATTAGAGATGGGATGAGTGATATGGGATTAGTGAGTCAGACTTCGGGAGTGATGGGAGCTTGCCTTTGGAGCTATGTATGATTTATCTCTGGTACTATGTCCTGTCCTCTGTTTCTTAGCTGCCTTAACGGAGGAACTTTGCTTGGCCATAACATTTTGAAGCTTGTAAATTATGGCCTGACACATCAGCTATTATGAGTCAAATATTTATTTCCTTCTTTAAAATGTGTATTTCAGGCATTTTGTCCCAGCAATAGGAACATGACTAATAAATGCATGTTGGCAGCATTAGGGGTGAAGCATTGAAATAGGAATGTGGAAATGCTTCACCCATGGTGATTCTGGCCACAGTTAGGCAGAACCTTACAGTACCTCACAGCAGATAACTGGAAAAGATGTCTAATCCTCCCCCTAGCTAGTGGAAGAGAGGATTGTCAGGTAAGGATGCACATTTTAGTACTCTTCAGATATTTTCTGAAAAA